TGCCCCGGGGCCGGGCGGCAGCTGCGCCGCGCTCTTTGGTTCCGGGGTCCGCGGGGCCCCAGGCGGTATCGGCCTAGAGCTTAATTTTTGGGAGCTAATTAAGACGCAGAGAGGAAGCGCTAATGTTTCCTTCTGAAGGAAGCGGAGACTTGCCGGCTGGTTTTCTTCACAGCATCCCTGCGCACACACAACGGCCGCTTTCCTTCCCCAAATCCGATTTTAATGGGTTTTGCTAATGAAAAGTTAATTAACGCTGCGTGCTAATGGCATCCCCGGCCAAAACCCCAGCGGATCCGCTCAGAAGGCTTCAATCAGCAGCCTCTGTGCCAGCTGCACCGGCTCAGCTTCAGCCTTTCACGATTACCAATGACGCAGAGTCCACGCGCTGTCATTACTGCCGGTGGATAAATGAATGAAAAATCCCCTTACAGACACCCCGGTGTCCGTGTCCATCACATACATACACCTACCTTTCCATAGAGGCAACTGCAGCCACCAAATCAAAAGAGATTTGGCTTCACTGGCTTGTTCGTGGATGGGACGGTACAATTCCAGCAGCCGGGGGGTCGCACCTGCCCCGCCTCGCGCATCGGCTCCAGGGATGCTGCTGCACCCAGGCTGCGACCGTTATTTTCTATTTTCACTTGCTCACCTAACTAAAGGAAGGGAATTAAATGTACAGCTCTTGCCTTGTGCTGGGAAGTTTTGCTGTGTTTGCAGGCAGCCCCCAGAGTTTGGTCTCTAAAGCCTGTTCCTGCTCAGTGACATTCAGGATGTTATTATTATTTCTCCAGCTTTGAAAGGGAAATTTCTGCTCAAACAAGCTCACGGAGGCCTTGAGCGATCCTCTCAGCCACCCTGTGGGATCAGCTCTCCCTGTATTGCTCCTGATGGATTTTTCTGAGCCTGACTTAGGTAAAGCTCCGGTGGCAGTAATTCCACACCGGTCCCAGCAGTTCTCAGGGGATCCCTCACTGTCACCCAGCAACAAAAAGCTCTTCCCCTGGAAGAGGACAGGAGTCCCTGCGAAGAGCAGAGAAGTGGGAAGCGTAGGGCTTTATTGCACAGTTCTTTTCCATTTACAGCGGGACCCGTGATGCTGCTGTTGGCCCCTTCACAAAGGCCAAGCAGCTTTGGGTGTTCTCACCTGAAATACTCACAGAGCCTTCACAGTGAATCAAAGTGTTGAGATGTCTCTGTCTTCCAAGCAGTCCTCCAGCCTGAGCATGAGCCCTGGCGAGCCCAGTACGAGCTTTCAGCTGTGGAAGCAGCCGGATTCCCTAACCCTGGCAGGACTGGTTTGTGCATCACTTTCCAAGGTCATAGTTACTTCTCAGGACTCATGCATCTATCGAAGAGTCTGTTAGTGCAGCCTGAGAGCTCAGAAAGGAGCTCCAGGCAACCTGGTCTGGAGAAATCAGGCCCCACTGTCTGCTACCACAAGGAGCAGAGATTCACAGTCTCGGGCACATCGTCTTCAAGGGTTTCTGTGAACCCATCTCCAAAGCCCTCTGCTTCCACCAGCTCGGGTTTCTTGTTGCACATGGGGCAGAGCCGGTTACGGATGGCAGACGATCTCATCCAAACAACGAGGTTCCAGCGTTCCCCGGAGGCAATGGGAAGCGCCCCGTGGATCTGCCCTCCGCGGTGTAACAGCCCCTGGGCTCCCACGTGTTCGATCTCTATGTACTTTGGCACAGGGGTAGGATCCTGGAACAAAGGGAGGCACAGCATTACACCAGAAAGTTCCTGGCAGAACAGTGCTCAAATAGCTGAAACTTGTCACCTCTTCACCCACAGTGCCCGATGAGCAACAAGGAGAGGACTCACTCTGAAATGCAGCCACTTCAGCAGTGGCTTGGTAACACTGTTTTCAGGTAAGCCATTCTCAGTGCCAGGTCCATAGGGAATTTTGAGACAGAGTTTCAATCAAAAAAACCCTCTTTCACCAGAGTATGGGTGCTTTTACCTCTCTCTTGCCCGGAGTCCCCTGGAAATAGGGGCTACAGATTTAGGTTTAAGTCTCATCTGAAATTAATCTCTCCTCAGCACCTCCCTGCTCACTATTCCAGTTGCAGAAAGATGGGTGGGCTGGTGTGTTTCACTCCAGTTTCTACTACAACAGTGTCTCTGTCCTCTCTTTGAAGCTTGAATATTGGTAACGTGCTTGTACCAGAAGAGGTACCTGTATAACCAAGACATTTAAAAAAAACGGGGAAGGGACAGAGCAGGTCTGACTGTCAGAAGTGAATAATTGTTTTTTAGAACACAGTTAACGCCTTGAAACTGGGGCATGAGGGGGCAGAGGGGAAGAGAATCAGGATCCAGGTTAGGAATACGCTCAGTACCTGGCTGAAATCCCCAAAGTACAAGTTGCCTTCTGTGAAGTCTCTTCCCAGAGAAACGTTTAAGGTGACTTCTGCATTGTCATAGTGAGAGCTCAAATCCAGATCTTCATTTAGAGAGTACTTGACGACAAATGCTTTGTGGCTGTCCAGACAAGCGCCTCCCAAGTCGGGATACAGCAGCGCTGTTATGGGCCACAGGTATTTTTCACGCAGAGGTGTGATGAAAGTCTCATCCATCCCAAGCTCATTTAGCAAAACCTGTCTCGAAGAGAGGAGATGGGAACAGCTGATCAGCTACACCTGCTGCTGCATCAGGGCTAACGCAGGGCTGCCTTGCGCTCTTCCAACCCTTCCTCTTGCTCAGATAAAGAACAGAAGAGCAAAGGCTCCAGCTACAGGCAAAGGAAGGAGGATCAAGATAGAAAGTGACAGGGAGTAGATGGAGTAAGATCAAAAGTTGAGTGTTCTTTAAAAATTGTCTCCTTGATTTAAATTTGTATTGCTTAAATACAAGGTGCTCTTTTCTCTGAGATACAAACTCCCATCCCCTTCCTTATATTCCCCTGTCCTTCTGTCTGTGTAACACACATTCTCTCAACCTTTTCACTTCCCAGGGGCTGCACTCAAACTGCACTCTGCTCAAATTAGAGACTTTTTTTTGGAAGAGAAAGGAGCATGAAGTGAGGAGCTAAACAGAGTCTGCTGTGAACACTCCCCCTAAAGCAGCAGGTGAGCCAGGGAGCCCTACCCCATAGTTATTCATGGTGTTGGGTCTGCCTTTGGGCATGTCCGACTGCTCAAAGTTCTCCAGCTCTTCCACAAAGGCTTGGCAGAACTCCTCGGTGAACACTGGGAGCCGATAGATCCTCTTATCTGTCAAGAGAAGGGAGACACCGTTTACTGGAGAAAATAACAGGTGAGAGTGTTCTTGGCTGCCATGCTGTCTGGCTCTTCTGCGCTGGTATCAGTAAGAAAGCAGAACCCGCGCATTTCACTTTGTGCTCAGGCTGCTCAAAGGGCTGGAACCACTCCCTGAGATCAGCTCTGGGATGTATTTGTTGGTTTTCACGTTGGCCCCTCGTTTCCAGGCTTCCCTATCCAGTCGGGAGATCTGGCACCGATTTAACGCCTGCCGAACGTGCCCCAGAAATGTTTTGAGAGGGTCTAGAGGGAGAGTCGTGAATCCACGGCTCAACACAGGCAGGGAAGTACAGCATCCTGGAAGAAGGAGACTCAAAGTTGTTTAGGGGATGGGGGATTCACTCCTCCAGTGCCAACCTTCTGGGAAGACCAGGCCTTCGGAGCTGCCTTTCCCCAAAGGTCTGTGTAAGGGGAGCTCAGTATCAAGGATGTAAAAGGTGAGATAAAGCCAGGCACGACAAGGGTGTGTGTCTGGAAATCGTGCCTTGGACATATCCCAAAGCCCTGCACATACACAAGGTCTGTGTATTTCTTTTTGTCTTGAGAAAAGGAGGAAATTTTGCAGATTTCCCTCTACATTTTGTCAGCATTTCTGGTAGGGAGAAAGCTTCATGGATGCCAACAGGGAAGCTGAAAACCCAGATCTCTTTTTAAAAGTCTGAAATCTAGGCTGAAACTATTCCACCTCAGACTAACCAACAGGGATTGTGTGAAATGGTAAAGCACTTGGGGAGGGAAAAACAAACTCTCAGGCTACCACTGTTCCTTCAGCAGGCTCCCCTGTGAGGTTGTGGTACAACCAAAGCCCCAGCGCTGCTGCAGTTTGAGCCTCTGATGAGGCATCAGCAGACTAGGATTGGAAAAGCAGAAACCAGGATCTCATCCAGAGCATCGCTGCTGCACAATACTGCCTCTCCAGAGATGCTCGTCAAGCAGAAAATAACCTCCTGTTTGTCTCAGCTGTGTATCAACTCTGAGCTATTAAAGACAGGCCTTGAGAACAGCTGTCATCACTGAAGCTGCAGTGTCACACGGGGAGATCTTTGTGGCTGATGTGTTGCTTTCTTTACCTGAGAAGGGCTCAATGTAGCGCAGGAGACCATGGAGATGAGCATCTGGCGATGTGCAGTATCTCACGATTTCTAGAAAATCTGGGGCCAGGAATGAATCCTGGCATCAAGGGAAGGATGACAAAAACACACAATTAGACTGCACAGTTTTTTACAGCCCAAGAGGGAAATGGACTTCCAGGCAGCCACAGGAAAATATGCAGAGTCTAGGGAGCAAGGCTGAAAGCCACACTCGGGTTACTTCTGTGTCAGGAAATGCAGAATGTTATTGGTGTTTTTCTTGGGGATTTAGGTAAGTTGCTGCTTGCTCTAGTTCTTGGGTTTCTAAGTATAACTGGCCAGATTTATTCTTAGCGTGATAGGAAAGAGCCTGGCTCACGTTATGGACTCCTAACAGGTCAGTGCAAAGTCTTTCCTGGTAGATTTAGCACTTTGTGATGGCCTCAGCACAACTGACTGTGCCCTGCTTTAGGCACGTCCCCACACAGATCATGACAGACAAGGGCAGAACTTGTTACTAAAGGATCACAGAGCAGTAAATCTGTGAGAACTTGTTTGTGTTACTGCTGATCTGTGGTAGTTACCCAGCTGGGAACTCTGGGGTCTGGCAACCACGAGGAAATTCAAAGCAGAGCAGCCCACAACAAGGGGTCCCCTGCATTTGTGGTGGGGTGTATAGATGCCAGCAGCCTGCTGTCCCCCTTCAGCTGGTGGTAACTGGTCACCTGTCTGTGTGTTAAGCCCATCAAAGCTGATTTCTGTGGCTGTTCCTTAGAGCCCACTGACCCTGTTTGCTGCAAGGATGCTTTAGGTCTACATTACTAACGGTATTCGGAGTCCAGAACCAGGTGCTGGCGCAGCTTCAACACAGAACGACCCTTCTCTGGGGTCCCAGGTGGGATCTTGCCTGGAGAATATGCTATGCTGTGGGAGTTTTTAATTCGGTTTTAATATGCTACACGTTGTTTTTAATTCAGTTTGGCTCTAGCACTGTGGGCAATCCTGAGAAGAGGGCTGCCGACTGCAAAAATAAACTGTCAGGCAATTCCCTGGGTGCAAAATAGATTCCAAACATACTGTCTACCTGCAGAGTGTACACTTCTGGGTGTTTTTGTTTGTAGCGCTTGGAGATGATGGCTTTGCGTTCCACTGACTGATGAATTAACTGTTTTCTTCTCTGAACTTCTGCCTCAACCTACAAATAGACAATAGAGCACATTGTTAGAGAATCCAGAAGGGTAACTGAAACAATTCCAGAAATCCGCTCATTGTTTTAAACCAGTTATTTTTGTTCCGGGCACCTCTGGGAGACGCAGTGTTTGCCTTTGCTCTTCTGTAGTCAAGATAAGTCCAATAAATACCTGACAAGCCAAAGGCCCAAGAGAGATCTGAGACACGTTCTCACCACGGATGGCTTAAAAAATAACTCTTTCCATGGATGTGTCGAGCGGAGCTGCGAGGTTCCAGCCCTCTCAGCCATTCTGATGCCTCGTGAGTCACCAGCTTACGCTTTAAGAGTCTGGCTCACATTCTGACAACATAAGCGTCCAAAATAAAGACATTTGCTGGGAAGGAGACAGGACTTGTCATGAAGGGATTACTAAGTGTTGTGCGGACAGGCCAATCTGTCATTTCTGAGGAAACAGCTGTAGCAGCAGCTGATTCAGGCAGCTCTTCCTATTTAATAACCCCCCATGGGATCAGTTTATAACATTCCTTAGGAAAAAAGGAAGGAGGGTGTGATCGGTGCCTGCTGCTCAGGACCCCTGGCAATGTGGCTGGCGTAACTGACGCCATCTCATAAAGCAGCCATTCTCTGTGACCGAGCGGGTCACGTATTCGTTCAGTTTCCCTCATTAGCAGCCCCTGAAGGGATCTCTTCTTCTCCTCCCTACCATGTCTCAGGGTTCCTGGGCGCCAGGCCGATTATTCCCATCCTTGCCGGTCTTGAAGGTCCCAGGCACGCAGCTAGCCCCAGGGGTTGTTGATGACCCCATGGCACAGCGGGGGAGCGTAACAGCACCCAGAGCTCTCTCTGTCTATAAAATCAAGCAGTTACAAGTCCCAAGTGCAGAACTGGGACTGGAACTGCTGCTGGACAGTCAGAGCCATAACACTCTGGGGGCCAGGGACACCCCCACTGTCACCTGCTTCCTCCAAGGACTGCGTGAGTGACTCGTACTCTTTTATGTGATTTTTCGAGTCTAGATCATGATTGTTATATTGATACAGCAAACCACATATTAATATCTGACCCGATCTGCAGAGGGTCCAGGTAATTAAAAATTATAAATTATGATCTAGAAATCCTAAATTGTCTTATAAATTCTGTATTACTCTGCTTATTATGCTACATTGATTCTGCTTGTAAGAAATCCTGTGCCATTCCAATCATAAATTGTGTGCTATGCTAATCATAACATCCCATTAAGAAAACCAAGCTTTAATTGTAACTACGCTTTAGTGCCGGCATCATCCTGCCACAGATCCCTCCTAGAACCCGTCTGTCCCCTTGGCGTCGGGTGGAACTGGAGCTGGTTGTGTGACACATCTCTGTCCCTGGCCTGGGAAGAGACAATGATCCCTTGCTAATGAGTGCGCTGGGGGCAGTTCTGGCAGGTCTGCCTTCCTCAGACCTCCTGTGAGCTCTGCAGGACCCCTGGGTGATCTTCAAAAGTGACTGACAGAAGGAGGAGGCCAGGCTAGAAGGGTGCTGGGAGCCAGGCTGTTGCTAGTGGGTTGACGGTTGGACTTGATGATCCTTGAGGTCTTTTCCAACCTTAATGACTCTGTGATTCCATGAACAGTGAAGTCAGAGCTCATGTAACCAATACATCCTCTCTGTGTGGATGAGGAAACCTGTCCTTGTGACTGTGGAGAAAAACTTTTTAATCCCCAAAGGCTCGTTAGCTTTACCCTTGAAGACGGGAGCATCCTGGGGATGTTCGGAGCCGTCAGCCAGGTTAGTGACGACAAAGAGACCAAAACCAACCGGGGAGCAGCACAACGGCCGTCCCCACAGCGTGCTGAGGTTTATTTCCAGGGTGTTTCCCGTACAAACACCTCACCGACAGCCCCAGCCCCGAGCCCAGCCCCCAGCAGGGACCTTTCCCCCTCGATCTCTGCCCCGAACCGGCTGCGATCGGGACAAGGCTCCGG